GGCACATTGCCGCTCAAAATCAGCAAGGTACCCATCAATCTCTCCTTCTGCCTCCACAAAAGGTTTAAACGCTGTAAACGGCACTTTCTTTCTTTCCCCCGGGTTTGCTGTGACTGGGGCTGCTGCAGCACCGCTTTGGCATAGCAGGTTAGCCTCCACAGCGGCCATGACCTGGGTGATGACCTCTGCAGATGGGATGGGACCATAATGTGCCAGCCTGATTCTTACCGCCCGGTCAAAGCTTGCCTCCTCGGGGGTTCTGTCAGCTGTGCTGGGTCCATTGGTTCCCTCTGCCTCTGGTACTCCATTCATTTCCAAAAATAGTGCAATAATTTCCCTCTTCCTGAGGTTACTGGCTTGTCCGCCACTTTCAGGGTAGCTCTTTTCAGTCTTTGGTATTGTACATCCATTTAATCCTGGTTGTAGTGGTCTCTCTGGGCGCTGAGGGTCATCCCGTCGCTTGCCACCAGTTGTTACGGTACCTTCAGCATGAAATGTACAAACCGCCGTTTAGTGAATGCTCCCCATTCGCGATAATGTAGGCTGTATGCGTATCCAATACAATCCTGCGAACCGCAAGTAAGGGAACACTCCAAACTCCCGAATGGTATCCGTACGGTCACTTCCCTCCACGAGCTTCAAGCTTACGAACCGTCAATATCAGCTGAACGCCGGTATCTCCCAAGCGGCTAATAATTCCAAATAGCAGTCTCTAGTCGCCGGTAATAAAATCCCCCCAATAACGAGACCAAGCTCCGCATTGAGAGTCAAACACGAACTGAGTTTACTGTGGGCTACCCGCCCGTATTTATGCAGGTCTCCCACTTGGTGGACCAAATGGGAGACTGGAATAGCAGATGGACATATGGCATCTCAGGACATACAGTCACACAATATTCCCAGCATACATCACAGTTTCCTCCCCTCTGCCCGGGAGATAATTGAGAAGTAATTCAATTATCTCCCAGAGCAGAGGCAAATCGCCATTTTAAATGCAAATCATAAAACATATAAAAATACATAACTTTATAACTGCCGAACATCTCTCGAACGGCCGGTGTTCGCACACTTCTGTCGATTGAGAATGGATGTTGACGGCATCAGCGGTGTTCGGTTGAAAAAGTGTCCGTTTTCAGTTCCATGAATTTAGTACCGAACACCGCTGGTCTTTCGCATGGTTTAAAATGGCCGCCTCGTGGTCGACATGCGAAAGACGACCACCCTGTATTCGGTTTTAATTGAGAAGTGTCTGTGGTTAACCGCAACGTTCTAATTGGGATCAATAGGTTAACCAACAGCACACTTCTCTTCTGGGTGGCCGTCCGTTCGACAATTTTGTTCGGTAAAAAAAGTCAGTTCACTTAGATCCAGGCATAAGAATGGGTGAGTTCGTGAAACAAGCAAACAGACGAATCCAGCAATCTTAGTCCATATGGATGGGTCTGTCACAATTATTGTTATTGAAAAATGTATCAGTAAAAATATTTGAAAAAAAAAGCTAACCTGCATGCGCAAGATAAAATTGATGGCATGCATTGATGGCAGGAGAGCGGACCACTAGGACCCACTCCCCATTGTTAATATTACAGACCCCAATTGCCAGCATTGTGTGACACTCTCCCCAGTGAGTTGAATACTGTTACAAAAGACTCGAAATGACTGTGTAACTGTTAATACCGATTGCTACTGTTACAACTCTATACGTTTAAGCCGAGGAAAACACGAATGGATTACACGAACTCTTATAAAGACTCCATTCATGATACGAACGAGAGACCCCCCAAATGCTGGCGTGTGCTGCCACTTAACCTCGTCACCCCGCAAAGTACCGAACGGTCGACCACCCGACCAGCGGAGTGTGGCAGCTATTAACCACCCAGGCGGCTGCGGTCTGCGGTTAACCCCAGACTAATAGATGGGCCTGGGGGGACCGACGCACACAAAGCACCGAAGGGAACCTACCGAACAACCACACGAACGGAGACCCCCTACAGTGGGTCGCGTGGCGGCCATTAGCCTGTGGTTTCTGCGGTTAACCACAACTCAAGTACCATGCTACCAGGTGGTCCCCGTTCATGTACCGAATGAGTTCCACTACCAGACAGACAGCAGGGCTTCGCATGAACTGATACCCGGGTTTAGTTCCATAAGTTGGAAGCGAGGTCCCGCTGCCCGCTAAACCATCTGAAAACATGGCCGCCATCAGAGACTCACGATCCAAAATGCCGAACGGACTTTATAGGGCAGAAATAGCCCATTCTGTTCGTGGGATTAGAGCGCCATTCGTATGTTTAATGTATCCGAACGCGAGCTATTAAATGAATGGTAGAATGAGCTGTTTTCCTTTATTAATGTTAAAGTTATGGATTTTTATGCAGTTTTCTGGGACATAATAAAACGGTCTTTTGGTCTTTTGTGCGCTTTGAGATAATTAGATTGTATAACCGTTGGCCTCATTATCTCCAAGCTGGGCGCGTACTAATTCAAATGATACACTGTATTGTGATTGGTTACTTGTCTGTACTGTACCTGTATTCCATCAGGTCCACAGGGGGCTGTCCTTGGACCTGAGGAATCACATAAATTGCCATGTTGTGTGCCAGTAAAGCCAATTCATTTTGACCCTCAACTTGCAGCCTCGACTCATGTTGTAGGGATCCGGGATATTGATGCTTATACCGTGCTTGGGAATATTCTACACTTGCAGCTTACTACCGAAAGACCTCCGTTCGACTCTCTACAGCGGGAACCAGGACTTCTAAGCGATCAACCCCTCTGCTAGACCGGGGGCAATCGTAACAAATACCTAAAGTGTATTTCTATAATTCCTATCTATCTATTGTTCAGATATATCACAAGGTGATACTCAGAATGCTACGCTGTACAAGTTCATATATTAGTGTATTTGTATATAACTCTTTTTTTTGCACACCATTTATTTCTAACTAAAGGGCACAAGCTTAACCCTGTTTTAGTTGCTATATTTAACTTGTACACAGTGTATTTACTTTGCATTGCATTATTGTTTGCACATAAAAGATTTATTTTTTGCATGCTAGTTTGCAGCTTAAAGAGATATTGCACCTAAGTCAAACCACTGTTTTGAACATTGGTTTTATATTTTAAGCACCTTAGTTAGTCACTTCTGATTAATATATTTGTATGGGTAAAGTATCTACCACTCCCTTAACAAACATAGAATTTGTAACGGCTACCCCAGTATGAGAGGGGAATCAGCCGTTGGAGACGTCCTTCTTCCCGGCAAGCTGCTGTGTAGTAGTGGAGTTGCTTTATCCCATCCGCTTGATCCAAGTAGAGAGCAGGGCAGAGCTCTTAAAAGAGCTAGTGATTATGCTGAGCAGGTTCCCTTTCAATAACGAGACAAGGCTACGTTTTGAAGGGTCAAGAAGAACTGAGGTTTAATGACAAGTACTCTCCTTTTATGCAGTGCTCCCATGCAAGGGAGACACCCACAGGCAATTATACAGTGACCAATCAAAGAATGGTTACAACCCACAAATTCCCTCTCCTCTGCTTGGGACATAATTGAGTTTCTAACTGTATCTACTCAATTATCTCCAAGCTAAAAAATTATACTTTATACATTCTCATAACTTTCTTATTTTACATGGTACATGAATAAAAGTTATGAACAGTACAACTTGGGGAACAATATATTCAAAATTTGTGTAAATCTATTCAGTGGTTCGGGAGATAATAAAAAGTCCCTTGAACCGACCGCACGCCTGTGAGTACGCCCAAAATCAGTTCTACAGATTTAGGCTGTGCGGTCGGTCTATCTTTCGTTCGACAAAACTCCCTATTTGCACGAACAGATTCGTGCTTAGACTCATTGAATACATCTAGTTCGGGAGTTTATTTTACCGAAAGAGCTCTCTGTTCGGATGGATTTAGCCGAACGCGCGGAGGATGGAAGTTTCAGCTGTGTTCGCGTAAAAGTCTAGCCGAAATTAGTTCAACGCGGTCGACGACCAAACACCGCTGAGTGCATTCGACTATCCAAAATGGCCACCGCCATGTGTTCGTGCAAACGAATGCCGACCACCCAGTCTATCAATTAAACCCATGGAGGGTTCGTGGTTTTCACGGTGTTCTTACAGTCAGGGAGGTAAATGAGTGGCACACTTCTGTTCTGGGTGGTCGGCCGTTCCGTACAAAATTCGGTATTCAAACGTTCTTATATTGTATCTCTATTACACGAAAGCCATTATACGAACAGTCTTTGTCTTTTAAGTGCGGGATAAAGTGAGGAAGGGCAAGAAAATGGTGAAGGTTCCCAGGCACATTGTATATAATGTTACATGATTATTTGGTTGTATATAGCAACATCTCCAAGCAAAATAACCAATACTGAACATTAGTGATGTCCCGAACGGTTCGCCACGGATGGCGAACATATGCGCTGTTCGGTCCGCCCCCATGTCATCGTTGAGTAAACTTTGACCCTGTACCTCACAGTCAGCAGAGCACATTCCAGCCAATCCCAGCAGACCCTCCCACCTCCTGGACAGCATCCATTTTACATTCATTGTGAAGCTGCATTCTTAGTGAGCTGTCCAGGAGGTGGGAGGGTCGGCTGCTGATTGGCTGGAATGTGTCTGCTGACTGTGAGGTACAGGGTCAAAGTTTACTCAACGATGACATGGGGGCGGACCGAACAGCGCATATGTTCGCCATCCGTGGCGAACCGTTCGGGACATCACTAATGTTCAGTATTGGTTATTTTGCTAAATGATGATGAATAGGGGGCGGACCGAACAGCGCATATGTTCGCTGTCTGTGGCGAACCGTTCGGCGAACCATTCGGTGAACCGTTCGGGACATCACTACTGAACATATGTCTCTGACAATGAACCATTGCCATTGGCATTTACGTCACCAAACTTTATTTAAGTGCAAGAGAAAAAAAAAAGTGACAGTTCCTTGTGTACAAAAATAAGGAAGAAAAATTCCCAGCATTCTGAATGTAAATGTAACTGATATTTATTTAGACTTTGATTGCAAGTGACACAATTTCAAAGTCATGTGGGTGTAAAAAAGTTATCACTTATCTTTAAAGGTAGAATAAACCGAATTAAAATTAATTGAATGCTGAGGATGTATTTCTTCTCCTTGATACAGTGATGTTTGATCAGCTTTCAAATAAAGCTAAATTTCAACACCATTTTTTTTTCCAGGGGTAGAAATGTAGCAATTTTTTTTTGTTGGTGTCAATAGCCGGCTCGGTAAGTGCTTGCCTGCTCAATTCATTTATTGTCGCAACACATAGGCCTTTACATGTTTATCAAATTTTGAACAATTATGTTTAAAATGGCCCTGTGTGCCTGCAAGGACTATTCATAGCCATTTAATGCAGTGTCTTGAATGTACAGATGTTTGTTTGTCTTCTGGCCATTTGCAACCAATTCCACTTGACTCCTATTTTATACTCCTCAATCTTTCTAAATAACATGCATTAATGAAGCAACACCAAGTCTGTGTGCTCCAGTCATTATTTCAAGCTATTGTATCTTCTTCTCAAGCCACCAGACACATTTCTATTAATTCATTTAGATTATGCTTTTTCCCCCCTATTACAACCTTTATTAGCATTTTGTACAATGACCCTTACTCTTTACTCAAACTACATGTTGAATCAGTGTTCTGCCTACAATATCAATTTCACTACTAATGAACCTGATGTCCTCAACTTGTGATGTATATGACAGATACACAGACAAGTTAAAATGAGCAAAATAAGACAATGTATAATTAGTTTGCAATTTATTATGTGATAGAAAATATACAAGAAATGTATACAATGTGAAGATTCTTTAAGCAGAAAGGGATAGGTAAAATAAATAAATGCACCTCATAGATAAACATTTAAAACGTTCCAAATTTTTGTAAAGAATCATGTCCCGCTTGACATACTTACTGAGACAGGACAAAGCCCAGCACTGTTTAAGTCTTTAGTAAATTAAGCAATGATAATTATTAAGCTGAATTAAGATAGCTAATATACAAAAGAATTTAAATAGTGGAAACGTGACACAGCCTGTATTCTTTAGAGGGTCTGTAAGAATGTTACATGAAGCTAACAAACATTAGAGACATGAGAAGTAAACAAAGAGTCCAGGGCATGGAAAATCCTGCAAAAATAAAAAGAAAGTTGGTTTAATTTTGATGTAATATTAGATTTGTAAAATCAAATTCAATGTAATATATAAATATGTTAAGCATGTGGACATGGTCTATACAACAGTAAGACTTACAAAGTTCACTAATAATATAAAGGTAACACTTTGATGATTTTTCTCATCTCCTGTTAGAACCCAAGGATGATATACATATTTCTTACAAAACCAATATATGCCAAATAGAAGGTATGCTAATGAAGTCAAATCAATGAAAAGTTGGGAGGTGGACAATGAACCTTCAATTTACATCTAGTGAATAGAGTAAAATACAATAAACAATGATGGAACATGGAAGGTTTTATAGCGAGCCATTACATGTTGCAAACTGAAGGCATATGATCATGTAGTAAGCACTGGTACAATACAATTATTGAAATAGTTGAGAACAACCTGTAAGCTTTCTCCACCTTTACCTGTATGTGTTTCATGTAAGTGAATTAAGAATTGTACACAACGCACAGCGATACATGTGCATGTTTCTATATCTACAGTAATTTTACATTATCAGGATCAAGGAACCAGTACAGTTAATATATATATATATATATATATATATATATATATTTATAATTTGTAATTAACAACTATTATAAAGAGAGGTATAACTTATTTGCTTACTGTCAAGAGCGCCTGATGAATCGCCAGTTGCATCTGTAAAACAAGCCGTTTTGTGTAAGTTTATAAATGTAAACTCTATTACAAATATTTATTAAGCATCACATTTCAGTATTTATTAACCTGTATGTATTTTAATCTACCAATATACAAAATCTGCACAATGAACTAACATATAGAAAGCTTAAAGGACCACTATAGGCACCCAGACCACTTCAGCTTAATGAAGTGGCCTGGGTGCCAGGTCCAGCTAGGGTTAACCCCTTTTTTTTTTTTTTATAAACATAGCAGTTTCAGAGAAACTGCTATATTTATAATAGGGTTAATCCAGCCTCCAGTGACTGTCTCTTGACAGCCGCTAGAGGCGCTTGCGTGCTTCTCACTGTGAAAATCACAGTGAGAAGACACCAGCGTCCATAGGAAAGCATTATGAATGCTTTCCTATGGACTGGCTGCGCGCGCGGCTCCTGCCGCGCATGCGCATTCAGCCAAAGAGGAGGAGAAGAGCTCCCTGCCCGGTGCTGGAAAAAAAGGTAAGATTTAACCCTATCCTCTCGATCCAGCCCGGCGGGAGGGGGACCCTGAGGGTGGGGGCACCCTCAGGGCTCTAAGTGCCAGGAAAACGAGTATGTTTTCCTGGCACTATAGTGGTCCTTTAAGCTTTGCATGTTAAACATAGGACTATAATGTAAACATATGTATGGTTTTCTCTTTTTTTAAATCTGCTATTGATGTGAGAGATGCCCCATGTCTTTGATCTTTTTGTTAATTCAAATTTCACATAATTTATTTTTACTCATTACTTCAAAACAGTCTTTTACTGACGAGTGATTTAATACATTTCACTGCATAGCTTGAAGTATTTAGTAACATGTTCTTTCTGAAGTAATGTCCAGGTTAGTGACATGACAACCATCGAACATATGCAGCCATTAGTAGGTTCACAAAGGTTTTTGTAGCGTTTCTAATCTTTCAGAGTAATTCACCAAGGGATTGGAAGTTTAAGGCCTAAAAACACACCTCCAGTGCTTGTCTTCCAGTCAGCGCCTAGAGGCCCTTCTGCTGCAGTGGCCGAGTAAAACTCTGTCATGTGATGAGACAGCTCTTAGAAAGCATTGCCAGCACATGCTCTATGATGAGCATTGGATTGGCCATCGGCTCTAGACCTGTATGATGATGTGGGAAGCAGAGCGGTTGGCAGTACCCTAGGAATTTGTAATTACATGATTACCGGGTGAATGCCAGCAATTCATGGTTTAGTGAATAACCTATGATATGTTCCATCTAAACAGTTTGTAGACAATCAATTTCTCTGAGGTCCAGTTTGTGATAAACATGTCTGGTCAACAATCACTGCAACTTTCAGGAAGTCTGTGTTAAAAGTGTTTGGGATCACTGTACCATTTTAACTGTTTCTAGTGTTAAATGCAAACAGTCAACCTCTATGATAACCATGATATCAATGTTACTTACCCTGTGCATTTAATGTCAACGTAACGTCTGCACTATTCTGCGATCCAGCTGGGGAATCAGCTCTGACATTACAGGTCTGTAATAAAAAAAAAATATATATAAAAATATATAAATAGCATGCATATGTGTGCATGAATGTGTGAAGATTCCATAAGTAACAACATGGTAACAATGCCAAGATCACGATTAAAGCAACATTAGAGAGAACAATATATACAGTTACAGAGAAATTTATAAATAGTGTGCATATGTGATGCGTCTCTCTCTCTTTTATCCTCAAATGAAGTATAGCTTTTAGTGTCTTACTATACAGTTTTGGAGATATTTTAAATATATTTTTAGAAATGATATGGGGATTCATATATATCATAGCAAGACTGGAGCAGTTTTAGGGTTAAATGCTGAAGTTTGGTAAGCTTTCTGATGTAATTGATTAAACTTATGGACTTTATACCAATATTGTGGGTAATGTGACCTTCCTAATTTGATACATTACTACACGCACCAAGGCTCAACCTATGTATACACTTTATATAGTAAAATTAATTTTGTGTATATTTGGTATAAATTATTCATGCAACTATTACTCTACGTCATACAAAGTTTTATTGGATTTGTTATGTTATAAATAAAGTAAATAATTTTAACACTGTGGGTAAAATCTTACCGGAACACAGGTGGCATTACAGATTTTTACTACTGCACGAAGACTGACAGTGGTCGAGCCAGTAATTTGAAAGGCTTTCATAACGACACGTGCTTCAGTACCATTTCCATTATTTATCACAGACATTAGACCACTAGTAAGACCTCCAGCTGGGCATCTAAAAACAGTAAATAGTTAATTTTAATAATACCAAGCCAATTGTCCCACCAAGAAAACCATACCTAGCTTTACCCACACTTAAAAGAATGTGTATGAGTTTGTGTAACTGACCCTTATGTCACAGCCATTTAAAGACATTTGATTGCAAGTAAAGAAATAAAGGGTCAGTACTGTTTATTTGGGGATCATGAGGACCCCTGCATGTTTGTCAACACCCTCATTGCTGCACATGTTGTAGCAACAGAAGAAATAAATGGACATGACGTAACAAAGTTGAAAGATCCCAGATTAACAAAAGTAAAAACAAACAAACATTGTTGCAAACAAATTGTATATGATTAAACATTGGGCTTCTCAAAGGGCACCAATTCTGGAAAACGGAAACATTTAAAGAAACACTGTAAGCACCAAAACCACTATATCTTAATGTAGTGATTTTGGTGCATAGACACTGTCCCTTTTCTCTCACAAATGTAAGCCATTTCTGGAAAACAAAAATATTTACATTTGTCAGGAAACACATGTCTAGCAGCTGTCAGAGAGACAGTCATTAGTGGCACTTCCTCCTTTAAAATCAATCATGATAATTTTATATGCTGTTAATGTTTATCATATGGAAGTCCCAAATGTAATGCTTCTCCATGAATCTCATCTGATTAGCAGAGTGTGTTGAGAAGCAATGTAATCTTGGTGACCTCACCAAAGGTGAATTGGTTGCTCCAAGGAGTCTGTGCTGGATTACAGGTTTTAAGAAACTTTTTAATTTATTTATTTAAAACGAAGGGAGGATAATATTAATTTAAAGAGCATGTTTGCTTAATTTGGTTAAAGAAATATGAGATTGTTTGTGTAAGGGCTATGGATTCTGGTATAGTCTAACCACGCCATTAACAGGTGATACATTATACTTCTGATACATACCCATTGGAAAGAAGCTCATATGATGTGGTGTTACTGTTATCTGGATATGCATATATGCTTTCCACTATGAGTGAAAATGCATTCCCGTCCAAGTCAGGTATGTTCACTGAAATATATACATTGTCTTCCACATACAGTGCATATTCCTCTGTCAATAGTGATGTAAAATCATCCTTTACAAAGGCCAGCATGTTTACTGTGTACACAGCATTTACCTCAGGGACAGTTATCTGTGTGGACCTAAAAACAAAAAAAAGGAAATACATGCATTATATACTCTCTGCTCAAAATATGTCTGCTAAATTTGAATGAACATTAGATAAACTTTTGTGACAGTATTAATGATGCTGCTTTTATTATCTTGTAACTGTGTTTAACCCCTTCAGGATGGAGGCTTTGTAAGTGCCCCACACACATTATATACTGGTTTTAAAGGACCAAAAGTACTTTTTCAAATTTAATATCCTATATGTATACCTAAAACAATGTTAAAGGAACACTATAGGGTCAGCAACACAAACATGTATTCCTGACCCTATAGGGTTAAAATCACCATCTAGCCACCCTGAGCCCCTCATGCCTCCCTAAATATAGAAATCTTATTGTATTCAAGTCTGGAGCTGCTGGCTCCGTTCCGGTTTCCTTTAGACCTGCCCACCACTGCCTGCTGACATCAGCAGAAGTGGCAGCCCGATCCTATTACAATGCTTCCCCATAGGATTGGCTGAGACTTACAAAGAGGCAGATCAGGGGCAGAGCCAGCATGATTCAAACACAGCCCTGGCCAATCAGCATCTCCTCATAGAGATGAATTTAATCAATGAATCTCTATGGCGAAAGTTCAGTGTCTGCATGCAGAGGGAGGAGACACTGAATGTTTGGGAGCATTTTAGGCAGCCATGACCCAGGAAGGATCTAACAGCTATCTAAGGAGTGGCCAGTGGAGTTATCACTAGGCTGTAATGTAAACACTGCATTTTCTCTGAAAAGACAGTGTTTACAGCAAAAAGCCTGAAGGTAATGATTCTACTCACCAGAACAAATTCAATAAACTGTAGTTGTTCTGGTGACTATAGTGTCCCTTTAAGTGTGAAAAACATATAGTTTTATTATTTATATTTTCAGAATACCAGTGCGACTAAATGAAAAGAGCCCAACATAGATTCACATATCAGTCCTGATTGTGAAATCCCTCATATGCCAAGGATCTAAATTAACTTTTGGTAGCTAACACTAACTCTGCATTAACCCCACCTAATGCTATACCAACCATACCCCTGCTTAATAACATTGCTCTTTATTTTGCAGAAATGGGGCACTAAGTAAACAAATCACAAAACCTATTTAGAAAGTAGTAAAGCACCTTACATTCTTCTCTGTCATTGTAATGTAAGATTGCTTTTATGCTATTGTACCAGGCCCCTAACTATCCAGCCTTTGACAGGACAGTCCTGAATTTGAGGTGCTGTCCTGCTTAAGTTTCCTGGTGTCCAACATCTGGGAAAAACCTGGGAAATGTCCTCGGGCACCAAAGTGCGAGCATATCATTAGCGGACACTTAAACCATGCATGGAGTGCTTTTTTGCTTTGCAGACGTTATTGGGAAACAACGTAGCAAACAGGCAACTTTGAGAGCATCTCTCATGTAGAAAAACTAAGCCAAGAGTCTGAGATGACAGACAAACAGAAATACACATTGTTAAAAGAAAGAAATAATAATGGCCAGTTCATCTTTTAGTGGGTCACATTTAGAGTGGTTGGAAATATGGAGAGGTACTGCAATGTAAGACCATTCAGAAACAGCAGACCTACACTTAGTATTGGCGGACATTTATCAAGGCAAACGCAGGTACTATTTGAGAACAATAGAATGATCCTCAATGCAGCATTTGGCACCCTGAATAGCACCTGTCTTACTTGATAAACCACCCCTAGCATGCCAGTAAGGGAATAATGATACCAAACAAATTTTGAAATGGCTGTTTTTGATAATAATGGCTAACTTTTTGCACACCAACTGTCTTGACCTGTGTTCCCCTGATGCATAATCTATCATTCGTTACTTGATCCCACAAGAGACAGACTTAACCATCACTAATATATGGAATGTATATGGAGCTGAATGTATGGCTGGTACTTACCCTATTATCGGCTTTAAGGTTGAGTTAAGAGCAACTGAAATGTTCAATGGGAAGGAGCAAGAAAAGCTCACATTGAAATAATTTCTGCTTACTATGTTACTTATCTTGGGACTAATGTACAAAGTATTACTGTAAGTAACATTACTATTATTTGCCTGTGGAAATGAAAACAAACAAACAAAAAAAAAACATTTGTTAGAGAAGTCTATCATGCCAGCTTTACAAAATACAAGTTTACGAGTTTTTCACTAAACAATGAGTTGAGATAAGTTGTCGATTTAACTTTAGAATTTAGATGTAAACTAGAGGACAGACTCGGACCATTTGGACCTTCATAAGAGAATCTCATATGCTCCTGACTTTTTTCCCCAATTTTCTCATTTTACCCTAAATTTTGCCAGTCATCTTATAAGTAGCCAGAGCTCACTGTTTACTGAATAGACTTTCAAAAGACTGTTATTACTGAAATAATGTAATGGACAAAGGCATTTATTTAAAACTTTTGGATAAGATTTTCAAGTAAGTACATTTGTTTGATACTTTTAAAATAATTACAATTTTTAAAAAAAGGCTTTTAATATTTATTGATATGTTGATATCTTTTTATACATTGTACAATTTTTGATATATTAGTATTTGGAAAAAAAATAACATTTTAAAAATGGTTCATAAATATTAAAAAAATTTAAATGTTTATCCATAGATTGAGGCCTAGATATGTTCATAATGAATTCACAGTGAATTTCAAAATGTAGGCCACAATCGCATAAATAGAGAGATTTTCTGTTATTATTTATAAAAGTGAGGATATAAAGTAAATTATAAGAGAATTCCAAATTTAGGCCTAAGAAGCCAAACAGAACACATAGTTCACTTGGAGAATATTTCTAGTTATTTTAGCTTGATTTTGAAATGCACATAGAATTCACTTTGAATTCTCACTTTAGTTTTAAATCAAGGCCTAGTATAGTGTTTAAATAAATGCCTAAATAACTAGGGCCTCTAATCCCCCCAAAAAACAGAGCTAGTGTGCCATATGGTAGAGTTATAACAGGTTATTCTAAGACATATCAGCCTGATTTGGATAGATTATAATTTGAAACCTTGAAGAAGAAGCAAAATCTTCTTTAACACAATGCTAAAATGACAAAATTCAATACACAATTGACATGTAGAATCTTTATATTTCTATTTTTGACCTACGTTTTGAAATTCACTTTGAACTCAGTGTGAATGCACTAGTTTCACTTTAGTGAATAAACCTGCATGACTAAGTGGACTAATGTTGAATGAAGAAGATATGTATTATTTATGGGTACATTTGTTTTTGATATAGATAAGCTGTTCTTATTATCCATGCTGTTTTAAACACATATTTTATTAGTTGTGTACTTACTGTTACTACATTACCACAGGAGCCAGTTTTCAGCGGTGATATAAAAACAACTTGGGAAGTACCATTAATAATCTCATATGTTGCTGAGCAGTTGACATCAGTTGAGTTATTCAAATGTAAATTGGAAGAGTCAAATTGACTAATCTCCAGTTGACATTTAGATATGGATATCTTCATGTTTCCCCCAGTGCACTGAAGGATTGGTGCTGGTGGAGTCACTAAAAAATATTTGAAGGGTTAAAGTCAAGATCTGTAATTTTTCTTTCCCAAAACAAGAAGTAGGTGGTTTTCACAACAGTTTGATCATTTAAAACATTATTTGCGTAGTTATATCAGATTGTTTTTGTTCTGTTGGTTTAAAACCATAAGCACTTTTTATCCAATCATTGCTGAGAGTGAGTCATAGTAGCAGTGACTTGTAAAAATCACTGCCAATATAAAACAGCCCTCCGGGGTTGTCAATAAGGCAGCCTGGAAAATTCTTTCAGGTTGCCAGTGTTAAATGTGTCCCCATTATGTATACAGCGCTCTCACATACAATAGGAGAGACAGCTGAGCCACGGATTGCGTATGTATGGTCTTGTGGTTCAGTGTATGCTAAAACACAGCCCATGTTCACTATACAGTGAGTTAGGCTGTGTATTAATTAATTTCAGATTTTCATCTTCTAGTATATGAATCAAAACTAAATGTCCAACTAATTGTTATCATGAATACTTTAATGGTTTAATGGCCATCATATGAGATCACAGAATATTGAAATGTACAGTATTCACTGGTCTACTTTACCTGATGAGTTGTATTTTGATGCATTACAGTTGCAGGTAGTATTTGTGCTGTCCGCTATTTCATCACTGGCACAGGTTGCATTTGCAGAAGAAACTGTATAGAGAGAAAGATGAATAGAGAGCTCACCTTTTCATGCACTATTTAATTAACCTTGTCTGAACTTTATTTTATTCCATGTCCATGTAGTATGTGTCACTAAGGTTAAACTGAGACAGACTGCAGAACAAACCGCAGAATAGTCCTCTCTACCACATCCCAAATTTCAGTAAACAATAAAGCTTTACTGTGGAACCAGGCCCAATACTATGGTGAAAGGAAGGAACTGCTACTATAGTTTTCAAATCTATTCCATAACCCCGCCATAGTTACATACACTATGGGATGCAAATCCCCTTGTCTATCCTTTCTGCCATATGGGGAAATAAATAAAAAAAATAAAAAAACGATTTTTGATGCATTCTAAATGCTTTTTTAGGTAATAAAATAACATCAGCACATTATCAAAAATTACATAAAATGTTGCAGAAAAACCCAGTTGCCATACGTCCTCACCTCTAATTCAAAATTGCTCCTCTTTCATAAATTGAGATGTATATAGGTGTGTTTTTAGCAATCTACCAATGACCAAGGTAGCCAGGTATAGCAATTTTATTCTGCATCTGCACCCAGATTGAATACTTTAGTATTTTACTAGAAATACACGTGGTACTAATGACCATTTTGCTGCACTCTGTAGCCAGAAATTTAATACCGCAACTTTACTGAAATTAATTGCTGTTTCAGGATCACTTATTTCACTAACATTAGGTTTCTACAAATGACAACAATATATAGAAAACATTTATATTTGACATTTTTATTCAGCACAGTTTAGTCTAGACAGCAGTGGAATACGTGTTCATAAAGGGTGTGCAAGACTTGCCTACGCACCCCATAATGCAGCTCTAGTTTGTCCTCCCTATCTTCATTTAGATTTCCATTGGCAATTTTTCTCATGAAATTGGATTAGCTTGCTATATTTTTGAAGAATAAATCATGAGTACCTATGTAAACAACTGGTTATTAGAGCAAAACTTTTTTTACTTAATTGTTTTCATTAGCATTTTTAAATGCAGGTTGTATGGTTATTTTCTCTTTTTGCTCCTCCTAATAAAGTGTACTGTGCATGCCTATGAGTAGCAGATATGTTCTACTATAGGTTTTTTTATGTTTGATCACCAATATAATGCAAGAATGGTCACTGTATCTTACCTAAAGCCACTCCAAATAGAGCTAAAAGCAGCCAAAGAAATGTCTTCATGGTCACACAGGCACAGATCCTAAGAAAAGAAAGGGCATTGTATGTTAATATTAATATAAAAGCAAAAAATATATATTTTCTTTACCTGGTAAATCAATATTTAATATATTATAAATAGTATGACAGATATATAATGGCCCTAACATCAAAGCCAGATCAGGGCACATGTTTTCCAGTCTGCCTGAGATTCATGGGTGTTTTATACTTTAAGCCACTTTTATTTTAATTGAACCTGCATCTGATAAGGATATGAGAGGAGAGTAGCTGAGGAGACAGAAACATTGTATCTCAATCTTCCCAAGCTCTTCATTCAGTACATCACTGGAAAATGAGTTGATTGTTTGTCGAAAGCTGATTCCCAGGAGTTGGAACTCCCACCAGATAATGTGGGACATATATGTCCCAGTGCTATATTAAATATAAAGGGTACCTGACTCTAATTCTAATTCTAGCCCTAACACAAACCATTGCCTAAATTCAGACACTAGCCCTTACTTTATCCCTAGTCGTAACCCTCTAACACCAATGTAATATACATGTTACATAATGCTGAAGAGAGCATTAAGAGAAAATAACGCAATTTGGGGAATCGTTTGGTTGCACTACTTTCCCATAATAAACTATTTCCCATAATGTTCATAATATTTAATATGGTGCACCAAGTAACAATATGTAACACAAGACCACTAAAATGTTATCATTTCAAAATTAAAATGTATCTCTATGTCTGTCTTCTTTTTAAATTGTCATTTAACACATTTCCTAAGTTAGTCATAGAAACATAGAATGTGACGGCAGATAAGAACCATTCGGCCCATCTAGTCTGCCCAATTTTCTAAATACTTTCATTAATCCCTAGTCTTATCTTATAGTTAGGATAGCCTTATGCCTATCCAACGCATGCTTAAACTCCTTTACTGTGTTAACCTCTACCACTTCAGCTGGAAGGCTATTCCATGCATCCACTACCCTCTCAGTAAAGTAATACTTCCTGATATTTTTAAGATATATTATTTCATAGATATTGAAGTTTCTTCAAAGTAAATAAATGTTACAATTACAATTCTACAAGTCACAATTCTAGTGTCCATGCAAAACATTAACAGTAATGTCCATATTATCACTAGAAATGATTGCCATCTCCTGTCTCCTTGATTTTCTTACCTTGCAGAGTACTGATCAGAATATGAAACTGGTTGATGATGCTTGGTATGATGCTATGAGCTCTTTATATAGACAGGTCATAGAGGATTCTTTCAGGTAATTTAGAGGGTGTGGTAGAATGACGCTGATAGAACGTTTTCTTGGTTGTAATTATTTAGCCTCTAGATAAAAAGGAGTAAATGTTTCAAGAATTATGTAGGTTTAAATGTTAAAGTGCACCTGTCATGAAAAAAAATGATGTGCATGACGAGTATTGCACTTACTGTCTGCTTTGTCCATTTTTTGTTCTCTCCAATATAAAAATGTTTTATTTTATAATTTGCTTAGTATATCCAGCAAAATGTATTTGTATATGTTTATAAATTAAAAAAAACAAACAAACAAACAAAAAAAACAATTGCCATTTTTCTATAGAGGTTTTTTTTTTTATTATTATTTATTTTTTGTAGGGGTTTTGAAGATCCTGTGAGGCACTATTAAAATGTATTTTTCTTTCCTTAAAAGGGATTCTATAGTGTAAGGAATACTATAGAGTCCTCTGGCCACAACATCCCTCCCAACCCTTTTCTCCCTCACAAAACAGGTTAACAAAAAAAAAGCCCCCACATTTATTTAGTCACCTGATTCCAGTTCTGATGTCTGCTGGCATTGGGTCAGCTCTCCACCTCCTTCGATGTCATCCAACGGGGGAAACTAAAGCGAATGCGCGTTAAGTGCCACAAGCGTATAATGCCCAAAGGAAAGCATTGCAGAGCATGAGGACGTCTAGCGTCATTTAGGCAATCCGAAGTCCAGTAAGTTCTGGAAACTCCTCTTGTGGCTGTCTTAGTACTGCAATGTTTAACGTTGCAAGACTAAGTGGGGCAGAGACACTGCACTAAGACCACTTCAATGAGATAAAGGTGCCTATAGCTTCCCTTTAATATACTTAATACATTTATGGGCATAGCACTTTTCTCCACATAACCTTAAACCTTTTGAAGTACATGATGTTTTCCATCCTTTAGGTTCAAGTATAAAAATGTGGAGTTTAGGAAGTTTAGCCTTCTAAATGTAACTGGATGCAGTCATGTTGCCATGGATGATTATGTGTCTAAATCCTGACTGGAGATAGTTTTTATGCTGCCATGAAAGATGTACCCTTGTGCAGTTTAACTGTATCCAGAGGTCTGCCATGCTGAATAAATAAGAATCCAGCACAAATGCTAGAATGAGTTCACATTTAATTTATACCAAAGGCACAGTAAATGAGAGCTTTCATTACACGTGGGCCATTGTTAAGCTTAGTAAACAGAGTAATAGTGATACATTTAAAAAAAACATTTCTTTTTAACAAATAAGCAGGTACAATACATTCTAAGGTGCATTTTTTTTTTTTTAAACAGTCTGAAAGACAAAAAAGGAAATATGGAAGAGAAATGGAGCCAAAAGAGCATTACAGACCTCCTTTTTGGGGTTAACCCCGATGTGGATTTAACAAAAGAAGAAAAAATGAAAAAAATTAATGGCTTTACATAATAGATAATCCAAAATTAAAACCAAATAATTTTAATTGATACTTTAAAAAAAAAAAAAAATCCTGATAGGATAATGAACAAGACACACTGCATACTCTATATAGACTGACTATATGAAACCTTCAAAAAGACACTCGTTCAAATAAAATATAAATAAAATAATAAGAGTAATATATACACAGGTTGAGCAACTCTTTTGTAAACTATAGTATATATGTAGCTAGGTAATTATAGTTTGCTCAGTTATGTGTGTGTATATATATATATATATATATATATATATATATATATATATATATATATATTACACACACACACACACACATATATATACACATACACACACACAGATAAATACCTATATTAAGCTTTCAATAAAATAATATCTAAATCACTAATTGAATATATTAATCCAAAGGATATGAGATAGATATATATATTTATTGAGGTCACCCATGGTAAAGGCTTCACCGACAGATATAGGTTACAGTGGTATAAATAGGAGGGAGGTAAAATTTAGGTATCTTAACTACCCACCCTCTTCTAAAATCCCAGATGTTAAGATTAATTTGGTCTTTATAGAAAGATCACACATCCCGCATCCCAGGACACTGAAAAATCAGAGATACTTGTGGTCAAATAATGAAATTATGTGCACAAATTTTCAGAGAGAATGGTATATATGTTGGTCAATATCAGGACTGGGTTGCTAAAAAATTGGCTACTTTGGTACTATACTCGCTTTAAAAGTCAAAGTTAACTCACTCACTGCTGTAACTGTTTGTCAGAGAGTCACAGATTGTAAAGATATAGTGCAGATAACTGCTTTTATAAGTAGGCACTAAGCAATGGAAAGGTAGTTACCCCAGCTCTGCAATCTTTTAGTTAATCTGCTTTAAACTCACTTACTGCTGTAGCTCTCGTTTGTCAAAGAGTTGCAGGTTACTAAGGTAAAATACAAAATAGACTTTTTATAAGTCTGCATTAGTTGAGCGTAAGGAGGTTTTAATATCTAAGCTTGTAAACCCTGGTTTTATTTGCAGTGTAGATTACTAATCTATCTAATTCCTGTAAAAATTGGTGAATTAGATTATGAAGATTTTTTTAGTTCTAAACAAGTATCCTCAATAGGTCTGAGACATTAGTCCGATAATGCAGTATACTGTAATGTCTTAACTGGTAGCATGGTTCTTTGAATTGCTCAATTTCAGTGAGAGTTCTTCCAAGTGCCCTGATTGTCTGTAATTGCAATTCTAAGGTGCATTAATATTGGATAAACGTCCCATAGTCACCCTAGATGCCCAGTTTCTTTTGCTGTCGGATGGTTCTTTTCTAAGGTGGCTAAATATCAGTTAGATACCCAGTTGCTTGGGCTGTCTTTTGGTATTTATCTAAGGTAACGGAAAGTCAGTTAGCTACCCCTAATCACCCTAACGCGCTTTCGCCGATTAGTTCTTCAGAGATTAGCCGGGAAGTTGAATTTTCCCGGTTTAAATAGGAGAATTAATTAGGCTGAATTAATGGAGACTTATAAGAGCACTTTTTTGTATTTTACCTTTGTAACTTGTAACTCTGACAAACGAGAGCTACAGCAGTGAGTGAGTTAAAGCAAATTGACTAAGATTGCAGCGCTGGGTTAATTTACCTTTCCACCGTTTAGTACCAATTTATAAAAGCAGTTATCTGCACTAAATCTTTACAATCTGTGACTCTGACAAACAACAGTTCCATCAGTGAGTTAACTTTGACTTTCAAAGCGAGTATAGCACCAAAGTAGCCAATTTTTGTTCTTCGCAACCCAGTCCTGATATTGACCAACATATGTACCATTCTCTCTGAGAAATTGTGCACATAATTTAATTATTTGATCAAAAACCAGTATCTCTCTGATTTTCAGTGTCCTGTGATGGGGGATGTGTGATCTTTTTATAAAGACCAATTAATCTTAAAATTTGGGATTTTAGAAGAGGGTGGGTAGTTAAGATACCTAAATTTACCTCCCTCCTATTTATACCACTGTAACCTATATCTGTGGTGAAGCGTTTACCATGGGTGAGTTCAATAACCCCTAATTATATATATATATATAGATATATAGATATATAGATATATATATATCCTTTGGATTAAAATATTCAATTGGTGATATAGATATTATATTAGTGAAAGCTTAATATAGCTATTTATCTGTTCACGAGCGCACACACACATAACTGAGCAAACTATAATTACCTAACTACATATATACTATAGCTGACAAGAGTTGCTCAACCTGTATATATTATTATTATTATTTGTGTTTATATTTTATTTGCACGAGTGTCTTTTTTTTTAGGTTTCACATAGTCAGTCTATATAGAATGTGCAGTGTGTCTTATTCATTATCCTATCAGGATTTTTTTTTTTTTTAAAGTATCAATTAAAATTATCTGGATTTAATTTTGGATTATCTTTTGTTACCCCCTCCATTTTTTTTTTTTTTTT